GTAGAAAATATTAGCCAATAGCAGCTGAGGATTGCAATAATTATGAAAATGAATCTTAAGTACTTGAACACTGTACCTGAACAATGTAGTCAGGAAATGGAGGTAAAGGTTGTGTTCAAGTGATCTATTGATGTGCACTTAGAGACTTCAAATCATATGCAGTACAGAGCAAAGGGTTTCCACAGCTCAGATACCGAGCATAGAAAGAGTCCAACTTCAGTAAAGATACCCTCAAACTCCAACCCAGGCCCCAGCAATAACTCATGGCCAGTTACAGGCAATCAGGTATATAAACAACTGGGTGGAATATAGTGTGGGCAACTCCTGTAGTAACTGAAAAGTATGGCAGTTCAGGAGCTTGTTGGGAGCTTGTTAGAATATGCAGCTGTAATGTGCAATTTAGCATAGTGTGTGGTAAGAGACTCATTGCTAGTTTCCTCTGAGCACTAGTCTCCTAGCAGAACTCCTCACATGCCTAGTCTACTGAAGTCCTGAAGTTTAGTTTACTCAGCTTCACACTTCCATGCTAAAGCCATGCCCCTACTGTTAAACAGTAAAAATAAGGCTGCTTCTATTCCCTTTCAAGGGTCAACTGCCAAACAATAAATAATAATATAAAGTGCTAGTCATTGTATGCAGAGTGTGAAACTAAGGGTTATCTAGCTCAAGTCTAGCGCTTGCTAGCAAGTATAATCCACTCCAGAAATTGTAAGTTTAGGGCTTGTTGGCCCATTTTTATTAAAGAAAGACAACAAAAAAAGTCCATACAACATGGTTTCCCATGCAGGGGTTTTTCACCATCAACACCAAATAATGATTCAGCCCTCCAGCTTACACATGCAACATTACCACTGTGGCCCTTCACTTTAGGACCTCACCTGTCTCCTACAGACCGTTTTCTAACCAATACTGGTCCGCATAGCTAGTAGTCCCTTGTTGCTCTGGCCCTGGCTTGGGTCACTGTCCTTTCCAGTGCACATATGCACCCCTCGGGCTTCTCTCTTGTACAATTGGACTCCTCAGGAGGGTAGAGCCCAGCACCATGATTAGGTTTCTACAAAATGACGAGCACACACTTGACCAATTAGTGTGTTGGTTGTTCTGAAAACCAAACATAAAATAAAGTGCAGCGCTAAACATATATAGGTACTGACATATACACAATCAGTCCGATCAAATAAAAAGTCCTCCTCAATTGGATGACAAAGAGTAGGTGCTCAGGTATTCAAGTGACTTGGTTCTGGTATCCGTGCACGTAAGTGATAAACAATGCGCACTCACCAGACCCGCATCAAATATGCGCCTTTGTGTATAAATGATCCAGATGTCATCCGATACTGGGTGGTCCTCCCTCAGCTGTGTATGAGGCTGATGATCCTCTCCACTTAGGGGTCCCCCTGATATTGCCTTGGCAACCCCCCTCTGAAGACGTGCTGGAGCACGACACGCGTAAGGAGGAGCCATAACACGCCGTGAAGTCACGCCGTCAGAGCAACGCGGAGCTCTGGCGGCCATCTTATCATTCCAGACGGTTAGTTGTGCACTATTAACTGTCTGCAACGTTGTATGCCTAAGCTCAATAAAACCTTATCTTATTACAAAATACTACACTATGGGAGTATCTTTGTTACCCCCTGGAGGAGCATTCTAATTTGCAGACCCACTCCTGGATACACCGGAGGGACCCAGACCAGATCTCTAAACGTCCAATATCAGGGGGACCCCTAAGTGGAGAGGATCATCAGCCTCATACACAGCTGAGGGAGGACCACCCAGTATCGGATGACATCTGGATCATTTATACACAAAGGCGCATATTTGATGCGGGTCTGGTGAGTGCGCATTGTTTATCACTTACGTGCACGGATACCAGAACCAAGTCACTTGAATACCTGAGCACCTACTCTTTGTCATCCAATTGAGGAGGACTTTTTATTTGATCGGACTGATTGTGTATATGTCAGTACCTATATATGTTTAGCGCTGCACTTTATTTTATGTTTAGTATTGTCTTCTAGGGGTTATTGGTACCTCATTTGTGCATAGCAGCTTTACAATTGTTTATTACTAAGGCGCTTCTTCCCAGTCACTATTACATGTTCTGAAAACCAGGACCCAGGACTAGAGGTTTCATCCCACCTAGATCCCTTAGAAATCTCTGGGATCCAGATCTCATGGATTTTTCTAAATGAGCAAACTGAAAAGCCTTTTTATTTCTAATTCAGAAACCTCCCTGGAGCCCCTCAACCTGACTGGTTGAGAACCCTGGATGAACATCAACATTCTGGGGCATTGCACTGTCACAAGAGATTTTCCAGTAATCTTTTTTAACCATTTACAAATTATTTGTTTCTTGTAGATACAGAAAGGTGAACAAACCTTAAAGGAAATTACAAGTATAACATATTGCAGCTTACCAGTAAGTACATAAAATATGTTATTCTTGTTAGAAAAATGTGTCCTTGTCACTTCCTGTAAGCATAAAACAAACCTGTCTTCCCTCTGTAAACTACTAACCTTTTCATCTTTGTAAAGGTATCTGGACCTTGGTCTGAACCAGCAAACTCTGTGGTGCCTGGCTGTGGCTTTTCTAGCTGTGCCAGCAGGAATGTTGTACAGTTACTTGCCTGATCCCTTGGACAACATTACCTTGTGTCTTGTTTCTCTTGAGTCTTGAACCCTTTGCTCCTCTAATGAACTTCCTAATTAAACCATGTCTCTGCATTTCCTGTCTGCCAGATTATTGTGCTCTCTCCAGGCGATATCTTGCTCCTTGCATACCTGCTGCTGTCCTTATTTTTGTTACCACTCATTACTGGCCCTTAGCTTGTTCATCGGCTGTGCTTTCCTTTGATCCAATCCAGCTACTACTTGTTACTGACCTTTGGATTGTTTACTGGACATGATTTTTCTTGATCCCTACCTGCTATACCAGACTCCAGCTTGCTCACTTGATGGGGGCAATCCAGAAAACTGCAACCTGGCACTAAGACTCAGTTGAACCCATCTCCAGCATCAGGAACTCTGTTGAATACCAGTTAGTGCTTAGACCCTGCATCACAGGTGAGCCCAAGTCATCTGCTAGGGGTATCTGCTTGTACATTTCTAGCTGACTACCTGTGAACCGCTCTACTACTACAGCCACTGGTCTCCAAGCCTGCCTCCAGACCATGAGAAATGAAGATTGACAAAGGCAAATATGTTTGTAGTCTAGCCTACTGGCACTTAGATGCCCCCATCCTTTGAATTATGTACTATGTACTATTATGTAGCATGAGCTAGCAGTGAAAATGTACTGCAAGGAAGTGGTAGGTAGAAGTTCAGGTGTGGAAACAGCTCCAAGCAGCATAAGAAGGTAATAGGAAGAGCAGTGGACAAAAGAGTTAACCAGTAAATGTTGGCCTGAATCCATTTAATCCATTAATCCTGTCAAGGCTTCGGGTATGACCAGAGGTATGTGAACTGATGCAGGGAAACGCAGGCTTCAGATATGTTATAAACAATATAATTTATTAATACTAACAATACAAAATGCAGTGCAATACTAAAACATAAACAAAGTGCAAACAAACCAAACCAAGCCACCCACAGATAACAATACATACAATGCAAGCGTAGTCAGGCAGGCCGGGTCAATAACAATCGGGCAGGTAGGAACAGGAGGAGCAGGCAGAGAGTAGTCAGGTCACAAGCTGGGTACAGCAACTAACGGGCAGGTAGGTACAGGGGGTCAGGCAGAGAATGGTTGGGGTCACAAGCCAGGGATCAAACAGGAGAAGTCAGCAGAGGTCAGGATCAGGCAGGGTCGGCAACAAGTCAGTCAGGCAGCAACAGGAACAGGAATGCAGGTAACAAGATACAGGGGCCCATGGAAAAACACACACCAAGGCCCAGACTGCAGGTCTGGCCATCCCTTAAATACACCTCCGTAATCAGCTTCAGGTGTTTGGCTGACTGCAGGGTTGAGTCTCTGATTGCTGAGAGCACCCGCTGGCCAGCCCTGGTACTGCAGCCCACAAGGCAGGTGAGTCCCACCATTACTGGCAAGTCCATTCCTGACAGTACCCCCCCCCCTCAAGGAGCGGCCTCAGGACGCTCCAAACAGTCCTAGCTGGGCAAAATGTTCCACCGCCTGGGTCTGGTAACTGGCAGGATATCAAAGACTGGAACATCGGGCTGGACTCCGGGCAGAGGCACATCGGGCTGGACTCCGGGCAGAAGCACATCGGGCTGGATTCCGGGCAGCGGCACATCGGGCTGGACTCCTGGCAGCGGCACATCGGGCTGGACTCCTGGCAGCGGCACATCGGGCTGGACTCCTGGCAGCGGCACATCGGGCTGGACTCCTGGCAGCGGCACATCGGGCTGGACTCCTGGCAGCGGCACATCGGGCTGGACTCCTGGCAGCGGCACATCGGGCTGGACTCCGGGCAGCGGCACATCGGGCTGGACTCTGGGCAGCGGCACATCGGGCTTGACTCCGGGCAGTGGCACATCGGGCTGGACGGGCAGCGGCACGTCGGGCTGGACTCCGGGCAGAGGCACGTCGGGCTGGACTCCGGGCAGAGGCACGTCGGGCTGGACTCCGGGCAGAGGCACATCGGGCTGGACTCCAGGCAGAGGCACGTCGGGCTGGACTCCGGGCAGAGGCACGTCGGGCTGGACTCCAGGCAGAGGCACATCGGGCTGGACTCCGGGCAGAGGCACATCGGGCTGGACTCCGGGCAGAGGCACATCGGGCTACCAGGTGGGGCAGCAGGCACCGGGCCACCAGGCGGGGCAGCAGGCACCGGGCCACCAGGCGGAGCAGCAGGCACCGGGCCCCCAGGCGGAGCAGCAGGCACCGGGCCCCCAGGCGGAGCGACAGGCGCCGGGCCCCCAGGCGGAGCGAGAGGCGCCGGGCCCCCCAGGCGGAGCGGCGGGCGGCGGGTCACCAGGCATCAGGTCATTTGGCTCGACAGCGGGCACCACGTCATCTGGCAAGGCAGTGGGCACCGAGTCACCAGGCATGACAGTGGGCTCTGAGTCAATTGGCACGACAGCGGGCACCGGGTCATCAGGTACCGGATTGTCTGGGTCGACAGCAGGCACCGGGTCATCTGGCGCTGGATCGTCTGGCTCGACAGCGGGCATCGGGTCACCAGGTATGACAGCGGGCACCGGGTCATCAGGTACCGGATCGTCTGGCTTGACAGCGGGCATTGGGTCACCAGGCATGACAGCGGGCACTGGGTCATCAGGCATTGGATTGTCTGGCTCGACAGCGGGCATCGGATCACCAGGTATGACAGCGGGCACTGGGTCATCAGGCGTGATAGGATCATCAGGCTGGATCAGTTCATCAGGCTGGGTAGAGACATCAGGCTGGGTAGAGACATCAGGCTGCAGTGCGGGTGCCGAGGCACCAGGCTGAACCATGGAAGGCAGGTTCTCAGACGGCAGGCTCACCGGTTTGGATACTGTCAGGAATGGACTTGCCAGTAATGGTGGGACTCATCTGCCTTGTGGGCTGCAGTACCAGGGCTGGCCAGCGGGTGCTCTCAGCAATCAGAGACTCAACCCTGCAGTCAGCCAAACATCTGAAGCTGATTACGGAGGTGTATTTAAGGGATGGCCAGACCTGCAGTCTGGGCCTTGGTGTAATGTCAGGGCTCCAGGTATGACCAGAGGTATGTGAACTGACGCAGGGAAACGCAGGCTTCAGATATGTTATAAACAATATAATTTATTAATACTAACAATACAAAATGCAGTGCAATACTAAAACATAAACAAAGTGCAAACAAACCAAACCAAGCCACCCACAGATAACAATACATACAATGCAAGCGTAGTCAGGCAGGCCGGGTCAATAACAATCGGGCAGGTAGGAACAGGAGGAGCAGGCAGAGAGTAGTCAGGTCACGAGCTGGGTACAGCAACTAACGGGCAGATAGGTACAGGGGGTCAGGCAGAGAATGGTCGGGGTCACAAGCCAGGGATCAAACAGGAGAAGTCAGCAGAGGTCAGGATGAGGCAGGATCAGCAACGAGTCAGTCAGGCAGCAACAGGAACAGGAATGCAGGTAACAAAATACAGGGGCCCATGGAAAAACACACACCAAGGCCCAGACTGCAGGTCTGGCCATCCCTTATATACACCTCCGTAATCAGCTTCAGGTGTTTGGCTGACTGCAGGGTTGAGTCTCTGATTGCTGAGAGCACCCGCTGGCCAGCCCTGGTACTGCAGCCCACAAGGCAGGTGAGTCCCACCATTACTGGCAAGTCCATTCCTGACAAATCCATTTTCCATTTATGTCAGAGACAGATACAAATGAACTTGTAAGCATTTACTTGAGCCCCTTGGATGTTGTTTGGAACTGTTATTTTGGAACTCTGTAATGGAATCAAATTTCTGCATCAAGGAAAGGGATTTTCTGATAGTTGTATTGCATTGTAAAATTTAGATTGTATGAATTGTTCCCCAGGATCTACATAAACTCCTCAACTCTACCAATCCAAATAACAAAAACCTTGTCAATATATTGATATTTCAAGGAATTTCTGTGAGATGTCTGGCTCACAGAAATGCTCATGTGTGTGGCATTCTCCACAGAATGGTAACCAGGTGTGCACGGGAATGTGCATAAGCACATAGGCGTGCACACAGTGCATGTTGGGGCAAGATGAACTAATTAAGGATGCTCCCGCCTGTGCTCAAGTGCTGACTGGTCTTCATCTGTTGCCTGGGTCCTGTGTTCATTCTGCGTGTTCCCTTTGTTGCTGATCCAGCTTGCTCTTGACCTAATCTCAGATTCTTCTCTTCACTTGTCACCAGTTCCTGACCCAGCTTGTTCCTGACCTCTGTTCTGCTCATTATTTGGTACCTCGCTGCCCACCTGTTGATGACTTTGGCTAATTCCTGTGACCATGCTTCTGTGTCTGATCTTGGCTTTCCAATCTGTTTGAGTGCCTCCCTGGCTGTCTGCTGTTGCAGCTCTGCTCCCCACTGAGTGTTCCTGCCACAAGTTTGCTGAGAGCTCTGACAACCCACACATCCTTGGCCTGCAGTGCAAGTGGAGTGTCCCTTTAACATCGGCTAGACTACTGAACATGGCTACTGTTTCTGACTTGATGGTCCACCAGTCTCCTTGGGACCTCATCCTCTGCTGAAAGTTCTGCTATCTACATCTGCTGACACTCATGTTCCTTGTGTCCTTTGAAACACTCCATTGCACTGTCGGTGGGGCCTGGGCAGGAGATACAACCTCGTCAATTCAGTCTCCTCTAAGGTACATGACATGCCAGCAAAGTGCATGGTAAATATTTCTTAAATGAGACTTATCTGAAAAAAATGTCCCTCTCCCACCCGTCCAGGTACAGATTGGGGTATGAGGACACACAACAGGTGTCCATAGCTATGCCCTGTACCTGAAGGTAGTGGAAGTCCAAGAATATGAAGTAGTTCCAAGTGAGAATAAATAAAAGTAACTGCATAATAATCCAATTAATGGGTCATATAGCCTTGTCTTGTTTGTTGGGAAAGGATTCATCCATCTTGTCACACATTTTGTGGGGGATAACAAAGTATTAAGAATCTACACCAGTAGCCACAAGCTGGGTGCCAGGAGGGACATGGATACTCTCAACAAGTTTGAGTAACGGTGTAGTGTCCTTGACAAATGAGGGCAGTCAAATAACATGGGGCATGAGATAGAAATCTACAAAGCAGCTGGCTCTCTTAGTCAAGGATCCAAGAAACAATCGGATGGCCTGGTGGCTGTAATAGATCTTTATGTGTCTTTGGTAAGTTTTTTTTTTATTTATAAGGGTGTCAATATAGGCTTATCTGAGTACATTTCTGTATTCATCAATAAATCCTGGAATCTGCCAAACAGATGTGTTTATATCATGCTATGTTGTTTAATAAAGTCAAGCACATGGTTTTGTATTGTTTTCCAGTTATGAGGACTACATTGTCACTTTTGTCTGAAGTCTTGATCACCAAGTCCTTTTTCCTCTGAAAGTTCAAGAGTTTGTTTCTTTTCAGTTGTGAGATTAATCGGATTTATACATTTCTGGATTTATAATTTTCTTAACTGACTGTATTTGAAAAGCCCATATATTATGGTTAGTAAGCAAGTCATGAAAATTGTTTTATTTAGGTTTAAATCTAGGTGCTGCATGAGATACCCTGCATATGAGAAAGAAGGGAAAGTACAAGGGAGCAGCCAGTAAGTGCTGGGAGGAACTAGGAGATTGCATAGGCTTGTTCCCCTGCAGATGATGGGAGCCTAGGAAGACAGGTTAACTCACAACTGACAGGAAAAGCTGGAAGGCTGCCTAATATCTGGAAATAATTGATTCCCTACCAAAAGAACCTTTGAGGATTTATAAGTTACCACACCAAAGTAAAGATAAAAATCCATTATTTTATTATAAAAACATTAAAAATAGATTAAAATATGAATGTCAGACATCTAGGTATTGTTTCAAAACTAAATACACTTATAGATTATGCCAGTATATTTGACCAAGCTCCCAGCTGATCACAACTGTGGGGAGTAGGGGTATAGTTTGTAAACCCCTGGGCTACCTCAGTATGTATTGTTTTTATATATATATATATATATATATATATATATATATATAAAAATATATTGACTCCCATATGTGCTAAGTAATGGTAGCCTTTTGATCAGGCAGTTGGTTTTAACATTCCCCTTCTTCCTTCTCAATTTACCTCCCCCCTTCTTTGTTTTCTTTTTCTTCAACCCATCCTCCCTTCCCCCTCTTTCTAACTCTTTTCTGTCTCCTCTTTCTCCTCTTTTTTTTGTCCCTTTTTCTTATCTTTGCTTTCTTTGTTATTATCTTGTGTATTATTTATTTTTATAGGGCTCACCCTATTTTTTTTTTCATCTGGCAGATACAGTTTTTATATGTTGATTGGTGAAGTCTACATGTCTCTTCTGCATGACGGCTGTGATACTTCCATTTGTAGCATTACAAGTTATATGGAATGCTAACTAACAGCAGGTAACTTATAAATGTATATGAAGAATGTAACAAAATGTATAGTGTACTGATGTACAGTCAATGTTACTTATTTATTTGATTTTGTTTGTAATTCTTAGCGATTTATGCAAGTTTCTCCTTGAGGAAGCAGACTTTTGTCCTGTGAAACATGTCGGAGATGAAGAATTTAATATGATGTTAGATCCTCCTTGTGATCAACCAGGATCTCAATCAGTATACTGGAATAATCTATAATTGTATTTTGTTTCAAAACAATATCTGGATGTCTGACATTCATATTTTAATCTCTTATTTTTAATGTTTTTCTATAATAAAATAATGGCTTTTTATCTTTACTTTGGTGTGATACCTCAAAAGTCCTGTTAGTTGCTTTTGGTAGGCAATCAATTATCTTTCAGTATCTTGTATTAGAGGATGTGATTCCAGTAAAATCCTAGAACAAGTTGAGACTCATTTGTTGAAATTTCCTTTCCATTTTTTCAAAATTTTTTGCCTAATATCTGGGAAGAAACCATGGGTCCCTCCATAGATGCAGTGAAGGAATGAGTGTTGCCACCGAGGGGCAGAAAATTGTTTTTTGCAGGTTTACCAGGTGAAAACAAAAGTAAAAAAGCTTTAAAAAATGCAACCCCATCATCTAAGTACTGGTAAGCTGCAATATATTACATGTTTGTTTTTGGGTTTAGGTAAACTTTACAGTAAGTAGAAAACTGTAAATTCCAATGGTGCAGTAATCTCAGTGAGAGTGCCGCTGTCTGTCTTTCAAGATAAAAGATTAGTATGTACAGTAAATAGCCAGCTTTAGCACCTCCTACTTAAATTATTTTACTCACGAGAAACTGCAATACATGTTTTAAACATATTGCTCTTCAAGCCAGTTCCAGTAATTAGTTATTAATCATATACTGAAGCATAAAGGTGTTCTATTTTACTGTATTATAACAACTGTTCAGTAAACACTTCTGAAAGCAAGCTGAGTTGATTTATTTCATATTATGCAATGTAGGGCAGTGTGACAGGAAGCCATATGAATTCCCTGAGGATGGCACAGGGTGATATATTAACTCCATCTAATGTGCATAAATAGGAAGGGTGCTGCTAGCTACAGTTAAAGATTAAGATTATTTGGGACATGGAAATACTGCAGAAAAAGATAATGTTAGAAAACATATGCAAAAGCATGAATGAGAAAGTCAGCATAAAAAATGGCAATATAATTTATGCTGAGATTGTCAGGAATTGAAAATAATAATACAGTGGCCACAAAGCAAGTCCATTCTCCAGCTTAATAATATGTAGCAGTATTAAAAAACTATATATATATATATATATATATATATATATATATATATATACATATATACAAGAATGACTAGAACTCTGTATTCTCTTTTACTAATGGAGCACGTTATAACATTCTGCTACTACAATCATGAAGATGTGACTATGCTGTTATTACTATTATTACAGGGTTTGTGGTTCCTGGGGCACCCTTTAACACTCTGTGGCAATGATTTGTAAAGGCATGTCTATTCTATTAGGGA